TGTTTGCCGTACTTCGAGTTCTAGAGCAACGAAATTCGCTCCGGGGCATTATTATTTCCTAAATTGTTGCAAAACCTCTCTCATCCGTCAAATTAGAATCGGCCGTAACGATTCTGATGTGCGCTAAATGAGTGTTTACCCTTATTTTATATCTTCGTTTAGATTACAGGTATATTTTATTGACCGTAAACAGAAATCAATTTACTTTCACCGTCGTAGGTATATATTTTATTACAATAATTAATATTACTAAGGTCCACAGTCTTGGCACCTGATATTCACCACACACGATGAGTATTATCTATTGTGAGCTTCAATATAGATTAGATAAATTTTAGTTTGCTATTTAAAAGCTCTTTTAACCATAATCGAATTTTTTTGACATTGCCTGGGATCTTGTTGTTATTTATTTTTATTTGAAATGAAATGAAATGAAATGAAATCTTTTATTTCAGGCAATGAAATGCCCATAGACAAAGTGTTAGTAAACAATTAAAACTTAGATTATTGTTAGTACATACAGCACAAATTAACCTAACGTTATTTTATATACAAAAGAACCGATTTGATTTGCCCAATCCAATACCATAGGATTGGGCAATCAAATCTGCCTGCAATCGTTTTCAGGATGCTGTTGGGTCTCTTTCTGACACGAGTCAAGAGGGAGAGGATCTTTTTCCTCATCAGTGCATGAAAGCCATCTGTGTGCGCCTCGGCAAACATGCCTGACGCACTGCACCATCGTGGCAGCTCCAACAGCATCCTGAACGCGTTGTTGTACTGTACGCGTAGGGCGTTATATGCTCGCTTTGTGTACTTGACCCACAGGCCGCTCGTGTAAAAAGATTGGCTGTATGCCTTAAATAACACGATTTTTACGTCGTCTGAGCATCTTGCGAACCTGCAGGCCAGCATATTACAACGCACAGACAACGCCCTACGCTCTCTCTCTATATCCTGGTCATCACACAGGTCATCCGTCAGTATGTGACCAAGATACTTCACCCTTTGCACATTTCTAAGCACAACCCCACCAAGAGCGACGGGCGGTATGTAATAAGGCTTAATTTTGCCCGCCTTGAAGACCATAATCTCGCTCTTGGCAGAGTTGTACACCAGACCATGTGCATTCGCATAGACTTCGCACCTTTGCACCAGTTCCCTGAGCGCTCCAATGGACGGACTCAGCAGCACCATGTCATCGGCGTAGCTTATATTGTTGGCGCACATGCCTTCAATATGGCAACCCGCATGCATACTACTGAGCCCAGCCACCAGGTCATTTATGTACCAGTTGAACAGCGCCGGAGACGATGAGCCCCCCTGCCTCACCCCACACTACATCCTGTATTCATTGGACAAGGCCTCCGCCCATCTCACCTGGTTCGATTGATTGTGGTACCAAAATTTTAAAATGTTGACACAATCAACCGGTACGCCCGCTCCCTCCAGCTTCTGCCACAAGATGTTATAATTGACTCTGTCGAATGCTTTTGATAGGTCCAGGAAGCAGGCGTAAATAGGTGTCTTTCTGGCCGTGTAGTACTGGACAGTATGCTTCACACACAAGATGGCACTTTCCGTAGACAGCCCCGCCCTAAACCCAAACTGGCAGCAATTATTATATTAATTATATTTTCGGCAGCAATTATTTCTACGTTATTTTTGCAAGTTGTGTTCTTTTATAATTAGCTGTGTAATTATAATAACGCATACACTCAATATAGCCCCGTTCTAGGAAAACCCTGTGTCGCAGGAGCCAAGGACAGACGCATAGACAACAACAAATTACACCCAAACTCACGAGAGAAATAAATATAGCCCATACAAATATTTGACCTGGGACCTTTGCGTGGCAGTCCGGCATGGTAACCGTTCGCCACAGAGGCCGAAGGAATTATATTACAAGACCTCGACCATATCCTATTTATTGTTTGTATAATTGTAACATCTGTATATTAATAAATAATAATATAATAATAAATAAATAACGCGCACACTCAACATCTCACTCACTCACTCATTAATAAATAGAAAAGACTTTATTCATTGATAGAGAACGATTTTCAAAAGACTCGCCTCGGAGTCATTCGGTATTCCGGAAGTTGACGATGGCATTATTGACTAATTTCATTCTGATGTAGTATTTGACTAAACTTTCGAGTATGGACTCGTATGAAATATATAGTAGAGGTACGACGAATTGGATTTATTAATTTAGTTCCCCAAAAAAGAAGCGACCATATTGTAGGGGTATAAGCTTTATTTTCGTTTCTTGTAACAAAAAAAATATTTCGATATACAGAAATTTGAAAAATTATTAAAATAAGACAACCCGATCATATGAAAGACCACCAAGGGAAATATTTTTGGTGAGGCTCTCATTTTTGCCTCCAGAACAGCACAATAAGGCATTTTTACGGGATTTTAGAGATTTTGCACGAAAGAATGACATAACCAGACCATAAAAAGCGAATATGGCGGACTGAGCTCAAGTAGGTCTTTTGAGACCTGTAGTTGGCACACGCCAGACGCTAACTAACCATTTCTACAGTATTTATTGTTATATGAGTTCTAAGCACAAGTGGTTTTATTTCAAGGGCATGGAACATAGTAACCTTCAAAATTAAAGTATATACATAAAAAAATTGGAGTTAAAGTAAATTACAGATGATCCTGACTGAATGACCTATCCATTGTTAAATATTATATATACATATATTATACCACTGACTTACCCTAAGAGCGTTCGCACACTACGTCCGTTTCGTATCAAGGGGGCTATTCTCGTCTTCTGACATCCGTCCGAAACAATTACTGTCAAATAGGTAACATTTGACATAATTAAAAGACAAGTATCCAGTATGAAGCTTCATTCGCATCACGCGTCTTTTCATTTGGTCAAGTATTGCTTATTTGGCAGTAATTGTTTCGGACGGATGTCGGACGGAGATCGAGAGTAGACCCCCAGTTCCGGATTCGAGAATTGACGGTCCGAAATGTCACAGGGAGCATTTTTATCTCTAGGTGTACAAAAGATATTCGTATTTTCCCGCATTCGAATCGGCCTTGGTGCACAAGCGACATCCGAAGTGGGTCCGAGTTTTCTAGATTTGTATAGTCTAGGATTCGGAACGCTATTTTTCGTTTAAAGTTTTTTGTATTACCTTTAAAGTTACAAAATACAGTATTTATGATATAATTGACACTCATGATAATATGCAATTCATTTCTAATCTTTACGATAACATAGTAAATATTACTTTTACTGCAAACGTTTTATTTTACTTATCGTGTTTTTCGTTAGCTATGTGTATATATTTATGTGAATATATATTGTTGCTATTTATTATACGTTACATAATCTATTTATTTATAATACTTATGTAAGTAACGGTATTTTTTCATTTTTTATCGAAGTGTATTATATTTCTCTCTCGTTCTCTCTTGCACTCTGTTGATCCCTTATAACCTTAGCTCTGACTGCCTTCGGTTGGCTGGTAGAGAGCTTTTTTAGAGATAAATTCACATTTGCTCACCTTCTGTTATATTAATATTTCTGTTGTATTTATTTAGTGTAATCCCATTTTATGTATTTACATATAAATATAATGTAAATGTTAAATTTTTTAAAACAAAAGAAATACGAAAGATTTTTCAAAAAGCATTTTGTCCTTTTTATCAACCACAACGAAGCAAAATACAAGAAAACACGTTTTTCGACTCTTTAAAAATAACAATGGTTGTTTTTTTTTAATGCTTCGAAATCATATAAAATATACAAGTACACGCTGTAAATTATCTGTCGTACCTGTGACTCTAGCAGCTTTCCCCCCATTTTGAAATAAAAGCAAAGTTACTTATTTTTAATTGCTGTTGTTAATTACAACTAAATAGTAAAGTTTGTAACAGACAGAAATATATTATTCGTTCATTTATTATATAGCAATTGTTTAAAATTGAACGGTACAAAGAATGAAAGAACTATTTATTCCCTAGTGCACATTAAGTCTATAGGTACTGCTATATATTGATAAACGGTGAATAATTTATAAAAAAGGCATCGGGCACAAATTCTTCAACAAAGACATCGTTCATAACATCTGCGTAAATATAAAAATGGTATAGACAACGTCGTACAAGTATTGAAATTAAATTGAAATTGAACAAAAGACAAATTTATTTATTTGGTGTCGCATACGTTTGCACGTTATACACTCTATTGTTATTTTTTAAAGTAAATGTATGTTTTGTGACATGTAGATTTTTAGACTTCTGTGGTTATTTATTAAATGATTATCACTAATTACAAGTTTTTTACCACGGTATGAGTTCTTTTTGTTTTTCCGTTATTGCGGAACGGTTACACGCTCATCATCTGCCGCTGGCCGATCAACCCGTGACTGTGGAGCGTGTAAAAGTTCCGAAATATCGGGAAAATAACAAAAACTCATGCCGTAGTAAGAAACCTGTAAGTAGCGACAATGATAGATACCTACTTGTTTTTGAAATTTATTGGTGACTACACTAACTAGATAAAGTAGTCCAACTTTTAATCTACCACTTTCTGGTTTCCTTTTTTTTGTAATAAATTAAGTAACTTAATAGATAAGACAATATCACAGTATATACTTTTTCAGGTAAGTAAAATGGTGAGTTTATTGTGCGAGTTTAAATCGAGTGGTTCATACGTTACACGGTAGATCGTTTACGTCCAATCTATCACTAATAATCGTACTTACCTTTTCACTCATTAATAGTCTTGACAATTCGAAGTCTGAAGACGAACTACTAGGTAGGACATATTGCGAGGCGTGGCGAAGCTAAATAAAATAAAACAGCAACCAAATGGTTGCCGATAAGTGGTTACAGAAACGTTCGACGTGCTACAATGATGCGGATCGCGGACTGTAAATGAGTGAGAATGCTGGATCGTTGTGGATGTACTCAGCAATGGGTCAAATTGGGTTGAGAATGACGATGTAACAAATATTACATACCTGCACTATAGAAGCCACTAGAAGACCGAAAGCCAGAGCGATGCTTGTCGTCTGAGGGGCACTTTCAACACTAAGGCTGATGCATGCTGCGACACCGATAGACGTCAACAGGAAGGTGCCCACCAGCTCCGCGACCAGCTGCCGCCAGATCAACCTGTTGTCTGTCACATCCGACAGTCCAACGATTGAACTGGTCCCTGAAGAACAATTATTATTATTACAATTATGTATTACAGTGCTGATTTTTGCCCAATAATCTATTAATCTTAAAGTCTAAATAAAGGGTTCGAAATGCAAACAATGCTTCATTCTAAAATTGGATTTTATAACAATTTAAAAAGCAGCTATTACTTTAATTCTTTTAAGAATTGGCAACATTGAGAAAAGTCTGCTTATGTAGGCATCTCCCAAGGCATTCTACTCAATCCAATATTGATCTACATCCGTGCCACCCTTGTTAGTTGCACTTTACAGACTGTCCCCCCAGGATAAGAACGAGCCTCACCACTATAAAAGACCCGCTTTAAAATAAAATCACGCGACACACTTAACACATTCGAATAAGAAAATTAAACCACGCATATTCAACAAAACATGAAAGAACCACGAACATTCTTTCAACGCCATGTCTTCACTAATTTTTTTTCGTATGAAAATGTAAATTCTTTTCATAGATTATGAAGCATAGCCAACTAGACCCAGACGTGATTGATGGTTAACATTATGTGTTACGTTAACTACATAAGTTATTTTACTATTTTTATAATGATGTAATTATGAAAATTAAAATCGCTCTTAGTAAACTTTGTTAAAACATAAAACCGATGAATCTATGTCAAACTGATTCTTTTATAAGTTAACCCTCGTGATACTAGTTGCAATTTATCGAAGATATAGAATTATGAAAATGTCAGCTACTTATCAATTTGAATATATCCCTACTCCTTCGTTGAGTTTGATATACTCGGTAAAAAACTTCTTTGACAATAATAGCCTCTGTGGTCGAGTTACTTGCACTCCGGTTCATGGTGTCACCATCCCTGCGGTCCCGGGTTCGATCCCTGGCCGGGTCAGTGTAGAAACTAATTTTTCTATATTGTCTCGGGTGTGTTTGTGGTACGGTCGTTGATTCCGATTTCTAGAACACGAGGGCTTTTAGCTACTTATTTTGGGATCAGAGCAACGTATGTGATGTTGTCTAATATTTATTTATTTATTACTACTATGTCAATATTCAAAATTAAACGCGTCTACCCATTGACTTACAAATAAATGGACGACGGGTCTAATACAAAAACCACGAAAAAAATGTCCCAAGTCAACCAATTCGAAATTTAAATTGTAATGTCATCGCAGTATCGCGCTGTCAGTCGAACAAATGAAGACTAAAGCGGAGTTTGGCGCTCTGTATACGATTTTAGCGCCTTACAAGTGCGGACACTTTTTAGCGCGGACCCGACGTCCATATAATTGTAAGTCAATGCGTCTACCTCAAATTGTAACAAAATTACATTTAAAAATTCCTATAAAACCATAAAAATAATATATATGTTTATGTAAACAGTATATGATCTTACATCTATTGAAAAATAATATAAACAATATAAATATAATATAATATTTGAAAATTTCTAAGTAGAAAAGCTCGCGGGCCGTACTCTGAGGCATCAAGCCCAGAAGGCTGACAACATTTCTCCTTGAATAGATTATTATTCTTTGGCGGAAATAACTGCCAGCATTGTGGTCACTGAACGCTTGTACGAGGCGATCTGACGGATCGGTCGTTAGAAGTTTCGCCTGTGGCCCCCAGGGACCCAGGGCTCATCGCTTTTTGTCTTTATTACAAACAACTACGATCAAAGAACTAGCGTCAATTTTACATTGTCGTAGCACAACAAATTGCTCAAATTAAAAAAAAGTTTACAACAATAATATGAGTTTCTATAGTTGCCCCATTCAACTTTCACTAAGCAACTAAATCGTCATTAAAATGTTTTCTTTACGCACACCGCACATTGACTGCTCCTATTGTTAAGTAACCGGAAAGTGAAAACTATTTTCATCGTAAAGGTATTTTTAAATTATTATTACTAATAATTACACTCTTATGTCATAGATATACCACCTACAAGATTTGCACTTTGCTTACTCTTTTTTAACGCGGATAGCTAAGGAGTATAATTATCTGTTTGTATTGTAACGGATTAAAGTATATTGCAGAATTTAAATTAACGTTGATTGTAACATTTTGGTATGAAATGATGATATACGTAAGATTTTATTTGAAATGTGATAAAAATCATATTGCGTCTGGGTTTCATCCAAGTGAAATGAATATTATGAGTTTAATTTATCTCAATGTACTTATTTGCGTGCTAATATTATATATTCTTCAACAATATACTGACTTAATACTTAGCATTAGGGCTAGCACGATAGGCCGCGACTTGCGCGGGAGCGACATAAAGCGCGATATATTCTATGCGAGAATAGCTGTATCTCGCGCTTTTTATGATATTGAGACTATTATTAAGGACTATTAAGGACTATTTTGTGCTGTTATTTTATTTTATGCTTTGTACGCTATACCTATTTGCCTACCTCTTATTTAATGATAATTTTGTTATTAAAGAAACAATAAATTGGCTTGATGAGAGTGAATCGGATGGTTACTATGCACCACCTTTATCCAAAGACCCTACCAGTAGCTTGGTGGTAGTTTAACTATGTATTGATAATAAAAAAAGACAAATCGCAGGAATGAGTTAGGAGCGAACGGTTCTATACATACATACAAACCTCGCGAAAGTCGAAATCATGTCTGCGGCGGGCATCGTCTAAACAAATCACAGATACGATAATACTCGACATACACGTGTTAAAGTAGAATTATTAGAGATTGACACTGATTCAAATATATCTACATGAAAGAAAAAGGCGTGTATTTAATTATACAAAGCCTTTATTCATTGAACAAAGGTCGTTGATGGATATGTTATAGTTATGGATGTCTCTAAAGACGACATACAAGTTCAAAAGAACAAACTAATGAGTAGATCTCGTGACCTGTCGGCACTAAATACTTTAGTTATAGATAGTATGTCGGTAATGGAAGTTAATCGGGTTGTCAAACACATTTCATCACAACGAGGTCAACAGTCTGTTATTACCCTGGATATGCTACCTGTAAAGAACAAAGCACATCCACAAGGTAAGCAGCGAATATTTTATTTATTTTTCAACCAATTGTGTCCCACTGCTGGGCAAAGAACTCCATCCAAAATCCTCCACTGCTCACTGTCTTTGGCGACTTTCCACCACTCTTTCTCAAACTCATTAAGATATCCCGGCAACGCCTTCACGGCTGTCCCCGCCGTCGCCTTCCATCCTCGGGCACGCAAGGAGTGACGACGATTGTACACTTATCGGGTTGGGTCCGGCTAACTTGGCCCACCCAATTGAGCATGGATGGCTGTTTTGCTCCCCACATCAGCAATACCAGTCATCGAACGCAGTATTATATTGTACATTCGGTCAAAACGGACGTGTATCGGAAGCAAATTAATAATGTATTTAAATTTAATTGATTTTAATTTTTATTTGCTTATTTTTATTTAGAGGATTGTTTTTTATTACTTCTTTTATTGTTTTTATATAAGTATTCATTTTACTTTTGCGTTTATAGTAATGAATTCAGCCGAATATAATGAATACATGTAGTACGTACTCAGCAAGTGGACATACACTGGAATGGAAGAAAATTCAGAAATGGGGACTTCCTATTTATCAGGATGGTCGACTGTTTTATTATTTATTTATTAAGTATTGCCTATAGTATCGTCAGCTTAAGACAGGTAACAAATAATTTAAGAAACTAAAAACTTAACAATACCTTTAAACTTTCTAGTTTAAAGGTATTGTTAAGTTTTATAGTTTCTTAAATTATTTGTTTGTGGTATTTTTGTAGCTACAATTTTTACATAAATTGATTTCTATCAATTTATGATTGACAAAAATTGTAGCTACAAAAACCCGCCATTTATTAAATTGTTTTTGATACGCTACAAAATTAACAGTTACCTATCAATAGTCCGAAGTGACATTTTCCAGAAATAACGTTTGTTCTAATTTTCATAACCTCAAAAGTCATTTTGAGAACAAAACTTTTTTCTTTTAAACCTAACTTAACTTAATCTAATCGAACCAAATCGTGTCTTTACAATAAACATTCAACATAATCTTGAAAGAACAACGGCTATTATTCGGCTATAATTCGGTTTTCGGTGTAATGAAAATTCGAAGAAACGTTATTACGGAAAAAATCGAGTTTGTGATAGGTTACCAAAACTAACCTTTTTGTAATAGTTACAGTTACTATAAGTTCTATCATGGGTCACTCTAAACACAAAGCAGCGTAAAAATTAAACAAAAGAAGCGCGCCTAGAAATAGAGAACGGCAGATGGTGAAAAAAAGAAGGCGGGAGGAATTGAAGTCATGGTGGTATAATTTTGATGTTAAAAAAATATATAACAAACTGACCGTTTCCACGTGCTCCTACTGGGTTTCCCACTGTTAGTTATTATATGATCTACTTTATTAAGGACCCTAATTAACTGAAGGCGAGATCGAATAACGGTGATGTGTCAGATGACAGCAGCATTAGAGCTTGTGAAAAAGTTCGTCCAGGGAAGTACTGACACTTTACCTATTTCTGCCGCCAAGCGGTAATGTGAGCATTATTGTGTTCCGGGTTTGAAGGGTAAGGGTGCTGGTGAAATTACAGGTACACGAGACATATCAACTTATGACTCGGACAGTGCAGGGCGCAACAGCAGTGCCCCTCATATCTTTGTGATTTAAAGCTTTGAGTGGCACTGCCAGTGTAATGGACAGGCGTACGACTTACTCCGTCCCTTGGTATCATAAAAAAACCACACCAACTGCCGGGTATCAAACTAGGGATGTCCCTGTACAACGAGCACTGGATTAACGAAATTGATTTCAAGGTACTACCCAAAACACCCTAACCACAACCAAATTTGGAAAGTTCGTTTCTCAAATTGGTCCTAATCAAACCTGGAACCTCCTCAACTAACGCCTACAGTCCTAACGCTGGACCACCGACAGTCGTCATATTATTATATACATTCTATTAAGGTTATACAATAGTATTTTACTACGCCATTATACGTATTATTATATTTTATTATTATGCGATTGTATTTGAAGTAAGACCGCCCGTGTACTTTAATTGACGTATCAAATTTAAAAGGCAATTCAAGAATTACCTAAAAGTAATTTGTATCTTTCACAACCTCTATGATTTACTTATTACGAAATTTTGCTGAAGTTTTGCTGCAAATTGACATGTCTGCGTTCTTCTGTCGTCGGGTTTTATTCAGTTGCCTTTGCCTTTGATACAAACCTTTCAGTCGGCTGGAAAGTATATATAGAATTGCTATTACATGTGTTATTTATTATCCCGTGGGAGGAAAGCCGCTAAAACCAAAGTCACAACAGATAATTTACAGAGTGTGCTTGTATTTTTCACAAGCCGATACGTTCAAAAAAGACAACAATGGTTATTTTCAAAAAGTTAAAAAACGTATTTCTGTAGCTTGTAGTATTTCCAACGGAACAGAAAATAATATTTTAAAAGAATATTATAAAAAGGCTATTATCGGTTATTTTTTCTTTTCTTTACTTTATATTTTTGTTAACTTACTTATTGACATGGAGTAAAAGTTATTACAAATAGGGAAATAGTTTTACAGCTCTATATAGTTCACACGGAAATCAAAACAAAAGAACAATAAAGTACGTTGTTCAAAATTTAAGTTATTGTAAGTCAATGGTTATTATGGATTTTACATCTAATAATTAATGGGCATAGAAATGAATTTTCGTATGCATTCGGAAATCCTATGATTGTCGAGGAACATTGAGAAAATAGAAGCACTCTCTGCAATGCACACATTGCAAAAATTATGTATTGTGAGTGTGATTATGAAAAAAACAACCTATTTTTAACCGACTTCAGAAAAGGAGATTCTCAATTCGACTGTTTTTTGTGTGTATGTTACCCGATTAATCCGTCATTTGCCAACCGATTTCAGTTATTATTTTTTATTGGAAAGGTGGTACCTTAATAGTCCCATCTAACCCCAAGAATTCGTCCAGGGTAGTACTGCCACCTTACCTATTTCAGCCGCCAAGTAGTAATGCCAACATCACTGTGTTCCGGTTTTGAAGGGTAAGGGTGCTGGTGAAATTATAGGCATATGGGACATATAACTTATGTCTCAGGGTGACGGGCGCAGAGGCAGTGCCCCTGAGATCTTTGCGATTTAAGCTCTGAATTCACAAATTAGAATTTTAATTTCGTTAAATTTGTGAATTCTTTTTTTGTTGGAAAGAGAGTACCTTAGTAGTGGTCCCATTTAAATTTAAAGACAATATTCCACCTGTAAGGTGGCAAACTAGGGGATGAATCCGGTTTCGCGCACTGTCCGGTAACCGATTTCAATAAAACTTGGCAAACACATGTATTCCACGAACTTTTGTGGTCGGTTTTTTAGTACTTTGCTGATATTATATTATACCTTATCTGTATATTCCAACTTATTGTCTAAAAAAATATATTCGTGTTAATATTCAATAACTTTAGTTGTATAAGCGTATTTAGTTTCTATTAAAATAAAATAAATAAATAAATAAAATAATATGTTTTTTTATTTAGGCATACACCCATTAATAAATTTAACATTATTAATTACATTACGTTACATTACATTACATAACCAATTAAATTGAATTTTATTTACGGAATATTACAATTATTAATGAAGTAAATAATTAAGAAATACATTAAATTTAATTGAATTCACATTAGAAATAATAGTATAACAATAATTAAGTTATTAAATTAATCCAGGCATTTTATTTTCATAAATAATGTAAACGCGTGCGTGCCCTCAATCTATAATTGCCTCTGTGGCTGAACGGTTACCATGCCGGACTGCCACGCAGAGATTCCAAATTCAATTCCTGTGCCGGGAGAAATATTTGTATGGCCTACATTTACTTTTCTTATGAGTTTGGGTGTAACTTTGTGTGTCCGCGACATAGGGATTCCTTAGTGCAGAGCTATGTTGAGTGTGTGCGTTGTTATTATTATTTAATCTCAGATGATGTGACCAACTGCAGTTGTCAAGTAACACAATAATTATAACGTTTTAATAAAACCGACATCAAATGTTTACTTTATCATAATTTCGCTGTGCTCGTTACCGCGGACTCTTTAATAATAATAACTAAAACGAATATAGAAGTCCTCGTCAAAACGAATCACACGAACCCAAAGATAAGACAGCTGCTGAAATCTGTTCAGGAATTCCTCTCATATGTCTGCCATTTCTACTGCCTCTGTGGATGAACGGTTACCATGCTGGACTGCCAGAAATATATGTATGGCCGACATTTATTTCTCTCGTGGTTGTAATTTGTGGTTGTCTATGTGTGTGTCCATGGCACCCGCGTTTCATAGTGCGGGGCTATGAGTGTGTAAGTTATTATTTTCCTCATCAAATCAGCTCTGGGTCAGCATAATATTTTATTTTCATTGGAATTGTACCAAGTTTTATTGAAATCGATTAACGAAAAGTAGGTGAAATTCAGTAAACTGAATTCATCTCTTAACTTATCACCTTTAGAGGTAGAAATTTTTTTTCAACATTTGAATTGGACGATATTGAGGCATCCCGATGAAAAGAAAATCATCTTAATCAGTTCACGAATTTCGGAGTAATCGCTTAACATATACGCAAAAAACACAATCGAATTGAGAACCTCATCCTTTCTCGAAGTTGGTTAAAATGAATGCTCATTCTGAACAATTTATTATGCTATTCATTATATTTATTACGTTACGACAAACTGATTTACTTCTCTAGGAGAATACAATGAATGTGAGGCATAATAACTCCACTTTGCGATGTCAAATTCATCAGAGTCATGTGGTTTTGATCATGAGACAATCGATTCTCTATGGGCGCATTGGGAAACCCAAAGAGAATCTATTACATGATTTCAGCTTAAGAGCTCGCCAATGTGTATTTTAAACCGACTTTGAATAAAAGAAGGTTTTTGAATGTACGTTACGCGATAACTCCGTATTTGTGAACCGATTTTGATAAGTCTTTTTTTGTTGGAAAGAAGGTAGCTCAGGAGTGGAGGTGTCCCATTTCAATTTGGAGAAAATATTCTACCTGTAGGGGATGAATGAATTTTGCTGTCGGTTTTTTTGGTACTGAGATTATATACAGTAGGTACGCGATTGAGTTAACTTCTCAAGAAACTTAGCTAAATAATGTCACATGTCTAATAATAGAGAACAAGTAAGAAAGTTGTTGTTGCTAAAAGAACACCTCTGTGCTTAAGGCAAAACCAATCATTCTTCCTATTATAAAATAGTAGTAGTATGTTTATTTTACGCATACTCTCATAGCCCCGCATTTGGGAAACTCTGTTTCACGGGTGCCATCGACACACAGACATAGACCACCACAAATTACACCCAAACTCACGAGAGAAATAAATGTAAGCCATAGGTACAAATATTTCTCCCGGCCCGAGAATCGAACCCTGTACCTCTGCGTGGCAGACTAGCATGACAGCCGTGCGCCCACGGAGGCGGTATGTAGTTATTTATTTTATTCCAAATGTCGTAAAAATGTGAAGAGTCCAGGGATAGAATGATCAAAGTCACTTGAGGAGAACTTTAAGATAAATTAATTTTTAATTTGAAAACACTGTTCAATGTTGGTGAAAAATACATGTAATAATGCTACCTGATTTTATAGTCAATGTTGACATAATGTGTCAAACTAATAATCCATTTTACCTAAAAACCTTCATAAATCTTATTTAACTTATGTGCCATATATTCTCAAGCGTTTTATGCCTAAAATTAAAAGTAAATTTTTCGGGATATTGAACTTTATTAGCCTTTTCCTGATTTAGGTAAAATACTTGTAATCACTTTTATAAATTAAAGAATATTCTATGTTACCCTCTAAATACCGTTTTTGGCACTCAGTTCAGCGAGTTTATGCGTGAAACGAAAATGCCTTACTAATTTTATCGACAACAAGCTTTCAATAAACTCCGATAAGAATGGAGAACCTCGAGCTACATAGACTTCATATCATCATTATTATGTTACGTACGCGTCACATGCTTGTGTGTTTTTATCATTTGTATTTACTTATCACAAACTCACTTGTGTAACTAATCTAAATTAAAATTTAAAAACACCTGACACGAAACAGCCTCCAATAATTCAATAAAGTTAATCACCAATTCGTCGAGCTCAAACACTATTTTGTCTTATGTAGTTGAGGAGTTTGGTAGTCTGCAGACTGTCGTAATTGCAACATCAGATTAAGGTTACGATATTTTAGTAATGTATATGTATACCAAATTTCAAGTCCATGAGTCAAGGCGAAGTAAAATATATATGATATTATTTTTATAACTAAGATCCTTCCGCAAACTAAAAAGTTTTTTTTATACAAAAAATAATTGCACATGACCTCCATCTATCTGATAGAAAGTGACGATGTGGTCGACGATGTTACATGCACACCTAAATAATGCCTATTCACTCTCGCCTTTAAAAGGTCCAAGTTATAGCGTGCGGGGAATAAATCCGCAGGCAGGGAATTCAGGGAACTCCCTAGCCGCGCGCCGTATAAATGTGGAAGCGAAATCCTGGGATCCTGGGAGTATCCACAACATAAATGAGGGATTTATAACGAGCGGATTTAAAAAAATGTATATAATTTCCAAAGAAAAATATCATCAATACGCAACGAGTTTTAAAATAATAAAAATTGTTCATTACATGCTCATTGCACATTCGCTCAATAATTTAGTTTGAAATATTTTTATATATTAAACGGTTTGACAGATTAAACGTTCCTAATTATTATTATCTATATGAAAATGTAGAGGTACTGCTTGTTTTAAATATTACAATACTTGTTTAATATTAATATATTGATTTTATGCCAGATTGAAAGCGTTATAAATACAACGTTATATGATTTATTAAAACCACCGTACTTACTCTTCTGCATCTCATCCATCGCGTAATCCGTTTTCATTTCGACAACTTGCACTTTCGAGTCCGTTCTAAACACAACTGCGGCTTCTCACAACCGCACTGTTTCGACAGTTTATACAATTACGATATTATGCCACAGGCTAAGAGTAATTTTATTCGTAATTGAAAAATTCCGAAGATGATTCAAGACAAAATGAGAAAATTCCGAAAGTTTTCAAACGGTCGTAGAGTTCGAATTTTAAAACGCTGCGTGCGGATCTATAGCTCGGCGTCGGGTCGAGTGTTCGAGACCACCTCTCCGTGTAGTAACGTACACCTGAGTGTGCCGAATGCCGAGATCGCGGGGATGGGATGACAGGTAACCACTCTCGAGTGCACTTTTTTTTTATTCGTGGAGGCTTGCGATGTTTACAAATTGTCGGTTAATTTGGCTGGCATGATCTTCCAGTGCGAATATTCTGTGGTTTACAAAACATCATAATCTAGGATTGTGAAATTGTTTAGAATACGCTAAATTGAGGTAATGACTACTACATTTAAAAATCGAAGTTGGAACTATTATTGAGTTAAAGAGTATTTTTTTTATTTATACTCCCGGGTACATAAGTCAAGCCACTTTGCATTTTCAATATGAAACAATGTTTGATTGCTCAAAAACTAAATAAACTGGTATACTAAACGTCATTGCCATAAGTCCTTGGTGAAAATTTGAATTTATATAACCGGGGAGAAATAAAAGATAAATACTCAATATAGTTTAATATTTAAAAAAAACCTGGTTAATAGTTCATTTTCGTCATTGAAATACAAGCTGATTTTCACGCGTATGATACGCGTTAAAATTATGTAAACCATTTGATAATTCGCGTATCTGGAATAACACAGGCCATTGTTACAGTAGGTATTATGATCTCGAACACGCTATGGACTTATCGTGAGCATCGCGTTTTGCACGATTCGCACTCAATTTCAGTATAGAAATAAGTACAGTACAAATTTCACATATAATTTATGAGTGTGTGCGTAAAAAAAAATATAACTGTACGTGAAATACAAGGTTAGAACTAGATTAAAGTATGTTGTAAATATTACCAAGAAACTTCGTGACCCCCATTTTTTTAAATCTTATTTGAGTAGTAGAGTCCAGAGGGGCGATGTTAATGATGCGAGGTTATCACATCTTCGGTTCGGGCGGTCGTCACTCAAGGTACAATTCTGTTTTTAATTATAATAATTGATTTTTTTTTATTTGTTTACGTGAAGTAAGAGGCAAACGAGCAGATGATCCATTTTATGGGAAGTGGTCATGGACATCTGCAACATCAGAGGAGTTGTCTATGCGTTTCAGAGCCCCTGATGCCTAGTTTTTTTAACTCCATAAATTTTTCTTTTTTTTTATGGTACTAAGTGACGTGACGAATAAGTCGTGCACCCGGCGTTAATCGATACGCCTGGCCTGTCCTGTATAGCAGTCGCCTGTAATTTCAAAACAAAAAAATGCACACATTACTGCTTTACAGCAGAAATAGGTGAGGTGGGAGTGCTTCCCTAGACGAACTCTTTCATAAGGAACTCTACTGCTACTAAGAAATAAATTCTTCTAGAGGGAGACCATTCGACATCTTGTAAGTTCGAGAGAGGAACAAACGTGATGTCCGCGTGGTCTTAGAATGCCAAACATCAAGGATGTGGTATGTGATGAATTATTTCAAACCAAAAGAAAAATAGCCATAGTATGTCCGAAAAAAAACGAGGAAGGTTCTTAATATGACAAAGTATTGTTCTTTATAATACTTTCTTAATGATTATAGTTAACAATTTAGTCTATTGTTAATAGACTCATTACAAAATATAGGTGTAGAATTGTGTCCCCAATTTAATGTTTCAAGTAATTTATAACTACAATATTTTTATAGGAAATGAAACTATTTTTCCGGACTTCGAAGTATTATATAGTAAGTATAAGTATAAGTAGATAGAAGCGAAGTATTTGTACCCGCGTCAAAGACCATATAGCTGATGTCAAACACCGTCGCGTAAACAAGTCTGCAGTCTGCGAGCATGTCATGGATAAACCTACACATTCAATGAAATTTGACAAATCCCAGGTCCTTGCAAAAGAAGTCCGTTATCTACCCAGGATGCTGCGAGAGGCCATTGAAATTAAAAAAAACATCCTAATTTCAACAGGGAAGATGGTTACCACCACCAGTTTGGAATCCAGCATTTTCTTTAATGAAAAATCCCAAACAGACATAAGACTGCAGTACTAATTCATATGTTTTAGTTTATTCTAATTTCTATTAATAATTAATAATAAATTAAACTTAATAAAAATTCATTGAATAAAATAATTTGTAAAACTTAATGTAGCGTAAATTGGAATGTTTTCTTTGTAAAATTAAAAATAAGGTATTTAATTAATAACTATTGTAACTATAGTGAAAAAATAGGGTGGTTTGCATTAATATTAAGGCATAACTGGTTGAAGACTGTACCACTTCAGTCAACCGTGACCATGGGACCTGTAAAGGGCCCGAAACGTCGGTTTGTTTGAAAAAACAATATATGCGATTTGAATCCGGCTAAATAGTTCCATTTCCTATGTGTAACAATCGCGAAAACCTAAGAACTCGATACAATATTTTTACATAGTTATTGTATAAATGAGAATAAATAAGTTATGACGAAGAGTACGTTCTGTAGGTTATTTATTCTTTCTTCTCGTAGATATTTGCCTTACTAATGAATAGTATATTTGATCTTGTCAGTAGTGTAACACGTTTACTCAAGAATTACAAAGGATTTTCTTTCAATTTTGATATACGTAATAAGTATCGTCGTTTTTAAACTGTGCCAACATCCGAAATAAAACTATTTTATCGATTTCCATATCGCATATACTTGTTTTTTAAACAAACCAACATGTCGGAATAAATACGAGACCCATGGTCACAGCTGCCTTGTTTTAAAAAATATATATGCGTGATTTTAGATACTAAGAAATATTTTCATTTCGAATGTGTTAACATCCCTCAAATAAATATATAATTTACGTATGTGGAACAAAGTCTAGTAGCCGTAGAGCTTCTGGGAAAAGAGTTTGTCCAGGGAAGTAACGCCACCTTACCTATGCGTGCTGTAATATGAGCGGGGTTGTGGGCATTACTGAGTTCCTATTTTGAAGGGTAAGGGTGCTGGTGAAACTACAAGCACAAGGAACTTGTGAACTTATGTCTTACAGGTGACGGGCGCACTGGTAATTCCCCTCCGATTTTTGCGATTTAAAGTTCTGAGTGGTACTCAACTGCTACGGACAGTCGTGTCGCTTACCACCAGGCGCACGACTTATTCATCCCGTAACTTGGTATCATTAAAAAAAAAATACTGAACCCATGAACAACTTTAGAGTAAATTATTTCATTGGCTAACCGTTATTATACGTTACACAAATCTTACGTTCTTTTTTACGGTCATTCTTTAAGGATTAGTACTCGAAGTTACTTAAACAAGTGCTAGTATATACGTAGACTTTATAGTTTTAGTACTATAAGAGAAAAATTACTATCGAGTTTGTTATCAGTAAGTAGTAAAATACCAGTGGCGAGGTTCCATAACGGTGTTAGCGAGATAAGCCAGTGTTTTCTCAGCCTCGCTGTTAAGAAAACAGTCAATGTTTACTCGCCATATTTTTAAAAGATAGTTCCACTACTGTAAAACGGAAAACAAGATGTATGTAACGTTATGTATTTGTTCAGATCGGGCGAAGATATTATTGATATTACAGATCTTGGCTGCGGTTTTGGACCAGTTTTGGCTTTTTTTCTAAAGAAGAAGTGATCATTGACCTGGTAGTCATAATACAGGGTATGGTTTTTTTTTAAATACCTAGTGCCGGCACGAACAAGTTGTGCGCCTGGTGATAAGCGACACGTCTATTTATAACACCTGCATTGCCATTCAGAGCTTTGAATCGCAAAGATCTTGTGCGCACTGCCACTGCGCCCGTCACCCTGAGACATGTACAACAAGGTGGCAGTACTTCCCTGGACGAACTCTTTCACAAGGAGCTCTACTGCTACAAAAAATATGCTACTACTGCATGGTTTCGTGATCAACCCATTGGAAACAGTTCGAAGTAATTTCTTTATTTAGAGAAAACATAACATAGACAATTGAATGTAATGTAAGTGCAAGTGCAAATGTGCAAGAAAATTAAACCCCAAACAATGATTTGGGACCCTATTTCATAGCAAGTGCTGTATAAACAATTTTACCTACCACTTAGCAAATTTAATCTACGATGATGTTAATCAAGTACTCTTTAATAAAGTAGACCATAATGTAATTTATTTTATCGTATTTAACCATCCCAAATCATGTATCTATGACACTACTTCCTCTCGTCTCTTTTTTTAAACTAGCGCAGCTCCATCGTGCTTTTTAAAACGTGTAGTAAATGTAAATAATAAATGTAAGTTGTGTAACGATGTCACAAAAACGCTACCACTGTTTTCTTACTTTTTATTATTTTTGTTGTATTTCGGTTCACTCGATTAATTTATATATCATTAATGTTATAGTTGTTCATTTTTTATTTACTTTTAAGCTGATAGTCTTGTCGCCAAAGTTAAATAAAAAAAACCATAAGAAATCATACCACCACTATGGAGTTACAGTTAAAATGAGAATTCTCACGATGTAAAATAGTTTTGATAACATACAATAGAGATCGAGCAACAACCATTATTATAAACGTATCTCACGATGAATCAAAATATATTACGACGTTTTCAAACAAATCAGTTAATCTGGAATATGAACTTGACACCGATAACGGCGAGGGTTTAGGCGATCCATCACTATATACCTGTGAAACAGCAGCTAATTGTACTAAAGATAGTACAATCTGCTTTTAAGGCTTCGATAACACTTGTGACGCATTTGCCGAAAATTATTTTTATGAAATACGTGCTTAAATCCTTTATCTATAAATGTATAACAACTACATACATTCATTTAATTGTAATAACACTTCAAACTAGTAGTGGTAGTTATTTAAAACGTTAATAAAAAGTACCTGATAATTCTTTGTCTATATAAAATGAAAAAAAATATTTACCTAGGTATATGAATCCAGTATTTTAGTAGGTGTAGATCTCCTTGTGGAAGCGTTCGTCCAGTACGATACGAAGCACGATAAGGCGCGACTTGCGCGAGAGCGACATAAAGCGCGAGATACTGTAGTAGGACTAGCTCGATAAGGCGCGACTTGCGCGAGAGCTACATAAAG